TATAATCATTAGGTAATGCAAAGTAAAACTACAATGAAATACCATGACCCACCTATTAAATGTCTAGAGAAAACCATCATAACAACAGGAGCTGGTAAGTGTGCATTGAAAGGAGGAATCCAAAATGGTACAGCCACTTTGGAAAAACATTTTGGCAGCTTCTTGTGAAGTTAAACATACACTTAGCCTATGACTCAGCAATCAAAATCCTAGGTAATTACTTGGCAGTAAAAACTTTTGTTTACACACACACACACACACACACACACTATAGCAACTTTATTTATAATTGCTAAAAACTGAAAAGAACCCAGATGTCTTTCAGCAGGTTGAAATGGTTCAATACACTGGTATATCCACACAATCTCAGCAACAGAAAGGAACAAAGTATTGATTGGTATAACATGTGTGAGTCTCTAATGTGTTGTGCTGAATGGAAGAAGCCAGAATGAAAAGGGGACGTACTGTGTGACTTAACCTATATGACATTCTAGAAAAAGCAAAACTATGGAAACAGAGAAGTTATAAGTGGTTGCCCGGGGTTAAAGGTATTGGAGAAGGTTGGACTACAGAAGGGCAGCATGAGGACAGTTCTGTATCTTGATTGCAGTGATAATTATACAACTCTATGTACACCAAAAAAAATGAATTTTACTGTGTGTAATTTTAACAATAAGTGTTTTTACAAGGTATAGCAGATTTGAAAAAGGAATTTTTAGAAATAAGTATAATAATTAAAATTTTATTTTAAATTAAATTTATTTGAAATAAATGTAATGATTAAAATGCTTGGATATAACAGCAGATTATATCAGATTGAGATAGATCACAAGAAATTATACAAAATGTACTATAGAATGACAAAAAGATAGAAATTACAGAAAAGAGAACAAGGGGCATGGAGGGTAAGTGAAAAGGTGTAACATCCATTTGAGCACAGTCTCAGGGGAGGAGAGAAGGGCTGAGAATTTTCTGGATTTAATCAAAAAGATGACCCAACCCATAGGTTTAAGAAACCCGACGAACCCCAAGAAGGATAAATCAAAGAAAATTCATATGAAATAAAACTGCATAAAACCAAAGAGGATGACTAAATGAGTCTGAGAGAGACAGATTACCTGGAAAAGAGCAAAAAAGTAATTAATGCCTGACTTCTCAACACAATGGAAGCCACAAAACAGGGAAACAACAGCCTAAATATCCTTGGGAAAAGTAACTGCCAAACTCTTATGTTGGTGTAAAAGTAATTGCCGTTTTTGCCATTAAATGTCATGGCAAGAGATGCAATTACTTTTGCACCAACCTAATAGAATGTTATACTTAGGAAAAATATACTTCAAGAGTGATGGAGAAATGAAGGCATTTCAGACAAACAAAAACCGGGTTGGTCCCAGTAAGCCCTCAGTAAAACACATTCCACACAAATGCACCCTCAGGCCAAAGGAAAACCTTCCTAGTGGACCGTCTGGAATATGGGAAGGAATGAAGAACAAAGAAAACAAATGGATACATCTACGTGAACATGAAATAACTTTGGGTTTTTTTAACAATCAGAAGTAAAACAATAGGGTATAAAAATTAGAGAACTCTAAGAGAATTAGAGTATTCTAAGGTCCTTGTTTTGTCCTGTAATCAAAAGTGTAGTATAATTTCTAGGGTAACCACTGAAAGAACAGAAGCAAAAGGTGAGGTTTATAAACTAGCAATGGAAGAAACTGAATGATTCTTTTAAAGAACAATTTAAAAACCCATAAGATGATAGACTTGTTTTTATTAATATATCAGTAATTACAGAACATGTAAGTGGACTAGTTAATTACATTAATTGTTCCAGTTAAGAGTTAAAGAAGGTCAGATTAAATTCCAAAACTCTAAACATATGAACCTTAACTATAAAGGTTCAGAAAAGTAAGGATAGTAATAGGATACAAAAACCTATACCTTGTGAACACTGGGTAAGGGAAGATGGTGTAGCTATACAGGTTGAGTATCCCTTACCCAAAATGCTTGGATCAGGAGTGTTTTGGATTTCAGAGTTTTTCAGATTTTTGAATACTTGCATTATACTTACCAGTTGAAGGTCTCAAATTTGAAAATCCAAAGTCTGAAATTCTCCATTGATCATTTCCTTTAAGCATCATGTGGGTGCTCAAAAAGTTTCAGATTTTGGAGCATTTCAGATTTTCAGATTTGATATGACAAATCTGTACTAATAGCAGTCAAAATGAAATGTAAGGCAGTAAACATAACTAAACATAAAGAGGGCCGTTCCACAAAAGGTTCAGTTCCCCAGCAAGATAATGATTTTACATTTCTATTCATTAACATGATATTGAAAATTGTATTACCGCTCTTTTAGAATTTGTCTAGCAAGCTTTCTGGTTTTTGCCTGAAAGCAACCTCTCCAACAAATAAAGTTGTAAAGTACAAATTGACAACTAAAGATAAATAAGAAAATCTATAATCAGAGTGGGTTATTTTTAACACATCTCTCTCAGTAATTGATAAAACAAACATTTTAAAAATCAGTAAAGATATAAAATACTTGGACAATGCAATTTTTTTTTAAAAAGGTCTTGTTCTAATTGACATATATTGAACATTGAAGAAAATGCATTATTTTCAAGCACACCAGGAACATTTTTTAAAATTGTTCATATGTTAAGCCATAAAGCAAGTATCAACAGATTTGAATGGGTTCAAATCTTTCAGAGTATGTTATTGGACCACCGTGCAATTAAGCTAGAAATCAATAACAGAAAATCCTCAACTGCTTGGAAAGGAAGACTTACTTTCCTAAATAACCCATAAGTCTAAGAAGTATCATAGTAGAAATCAGAAAATACTTTTGACCAAGAAATAATGAAAATACTACATTTTAAAACATGTATATGCAGCTAAAACAGACTTAGAGGGAAATGCATTGCCCTAAATATTATGTTATTAAAACAGGAAAGTCTAAAAAGTAGTAAACCAAGTGTTCATCTCAAGAAGTTTAAGAAAATAGAGAAGTAAACCTGAAGAAAGTAGGAAGGAAGGAATAAAGATAAGAACAGAAATTAATACAATATAAAATAAAAATTCAGTAGAATTAAAGCTAAACTTTTAAAGCAATTAAAATTTATAAACCTCTGGTGCAATTGATCAAGGAAAAGAGAAGAGGCACGTTTATGATAATATCAGGTTGGAAAAAGAGCCGTCAGTCACTATAGATGTTGTGAATGCTTGAAAGATAAAAATATATTATTAAGAATTTTTGCCAATACATTTGAAAATTTGGAAAAAGTACAGAAAAATGTTACTTAAAAAATCAGATTCAAGAAGCAGAAAACTGGACTAGTTCTGCAACCATTCAAGAAATTGAATTACAAATCCTAGCAGGAGAAGAAATATAATATGAACAAATGGTTGGCTGACTAAGCCCTGCCAGTGAAACAAGTGTACAGCAGTTATCCTTGAGGTCTACCAGTTATACTTGAGGACGCCATTAATGCTGTAAGCAGCATCTTTGATGGTCATGATATTGAGGTTGTGTATCGATTCAGGCCTTTGAGGATGCATACCAATTTGTTGACTAGACAAAAGCCACAGGGTGTCCTGACCAAATGCAGAAAACTCTTAAGAGTCTTTCAAAATAATAAATGCTCATTAAGAACCATCTGCTAACAACATAAACATTTTTTACAATTATAAAGTTAAGAGCACTTCCACTAGAAGTTGAGAAAACTGTGCTGTAGAACTGATTTCTCCTTGGAGAGGGATTTGTTCTACCTGTAATGATGTAGGAACTCCTACTGAAGTAATCCTAAGTAATTACTCCCCCATGAGACTAAGATCATGTAAGCTTCCCAAGGAAGCAATAATATAAACACAATAGAAAGATCCTGGGTTTGTTAAGGAATTCAGTTTATTAAATTATTATAAAAACTGATAAACTGTTGTGCAAATTTTCAGGAAGTATTAGACAGCATCCTGGTAATCTATGATGCAGCATCCTTCGACTGTGGAAAGGAGTGAACTTTGCTGAGCAGCAAATGTGAAATCATGGAAACCTGGGAGAGAACGAAGGTGTCACCAGAGAAATGATCACAAAATGTTGAAAAGTGTGGTGAATTCTAATAATCCAGGAAACATGGCAGAGTTGGGCTCAGCCTGGCCACATCCCTTCCCTGTGGGGATGACCAGTCTTATTTTTCACAGCAAGAGTCATTAGCTCATCATGCATTTGGTGCCCCAGAGAGGCACCTTCTTGCCCATGAGATTGGGCCTCCTCTGATTGTCCTTGATGCTGTATTCACACCAGACAAAGCATTTCAGCATTCTTATTTATTGATTTATTTTTGAGATAGAGTCTTGCTCTGTTACCAAGGCTGGAGTGCAATGGTGCAGTCATAGCTCACTACAGCCTCAAACTCCTGGGCTCAAGCAAACTAGCCTCCCTAGTAGCTGGGACTACAGACATGTGGCACCATGCCCAGCTAACTTTTTTTTTTGGTAGTAAGGTCTCACTGTGTTGCCCAAGCTGGTCTCGAACTCCTGAGCTCAAGCAAACCTCCTGCCTCAGCCTCTCAAAGAGCTGAGATCATAGGTTGTGAGCCACCATGCCTGGCCAAGAATTATTTCCTAAATTGCTTGGGTTATCTCATAACCTTTACCTCCTCAGGACTTTTGTAGTTGACTTACATATATTTTAGAAATTAAAACTTGGTTATTCATGAGAGGAAAGTTGCTAATTTTGATTCTGTGATCATCTTCCAGAACATTCTTGGCTCTTTCATTTAAATATCCTTAATAAAGAGAAAACAAGATGCATTTTCACGTGGGTAAAACTGGTACACCATGTACTTCTGTGGAGTAAAAGGACTTTTCAGAAGCAGATAACTGATACATGGATGGAAATCTTGCTTTTTCCCCTTTACGTGCCCATTGCATACATGCCCATAAAGGCACATTGTACACACTCTTACTTATTACTTGTTTTTTTTCTCTGATCTGTATAGGAAAGAAAAAATCTAAATTCAAAACTTTTAAGAAGTTTTTTGGGAAGAAGAAGAGAAAAGAATCACCGTCGTCCACAGGAAGTAGCACCTGGAAACAAAGTCAGACAAGGAATGAGGTCATTGCCATCGAGTCCGGACCAGTGGGCTACGACTCCGAGGATGAGCTGGAGTAAGTTGAGTTTTACATCCCTCAGGCCAGGAGCACCCAAAGATGCTATTTCATTATCCTGGTAACTTGCTGGATTTCTGAGCCCCCTTTCCTCCTGGGTAATTCCATTAGAGGTTTTTCCACACAAGTTGTTGTTTTCTATCTTTTCAAACCTAGGGATGGAGAACTCTGCATGTGTTCAAGTCCACAATAACTGTGGGAGAGGAGGTACTATAAGCCATTTTATACATGGGCAAAATAAGTCCTAGATAAAATTTGGAACTTGCTCAGCATCCTACAGCTGATAGTGACAGGATCAGGATAGGGGCCCTGGTTTAACTTGACTTAAAACTCTTTTAAGGACCTAGATACTAAACTAGAAACATACATTTCTCTAAACTTGAACATTGGGGCATGCTTCTTGCTATTCAATCTTAGAAAAAATCATCTAAAAATATCATTAAGAAGAACAGACCCAATAAGCACAAAAAACTGGGGAGGTCTAGTAAAGAAATACTTATTTTTGTAACTTGTATTTCATTAAAATATAGTTACAGTATATTCCAGAAGTTATTTCTGTGACTAAGAGGAAATGAAACAGATTTCTTGCTATGCCAGCTTTTACCTTTTTTTTAATACAACACTGGCCCTTTAATTTGAGGATGGAACTCTTCAGAAAACATAATATCCCTCAGGATTGGGGTACAGACCACGCTGAGATGCATCCCAGGCTTGAGCATCCGGATAATGGTGTCCTGTTCCCACCCCTGCTCTCCCCTCCTCCCCAGCCTCCTGGCCTGTTTTTTAAAGGAGTAGAAATTTTATTGGCCACTTGGTGGCACCAGATGACTGGAAAGAAAAGATTGGAATTTTTTTTTTTTTTTCTTTTTTTCAGTTTCGGGTTTGTTTTTTTGGTTTTGCTTGCCTTTAGTGCTAGCAAGGAATGTAATAGACTCATGTTGCACCGTGTGAAGTGCGGAAGGGATACACTGTGCATTTTTGTAGGTGGTGCTCCGAACTCTTAGGGAGTGAGATGTTATCATGATAATAATACTAATTATTCAGTGTCATCACTTTGCAAGCCCCAGGGAAACTCTAACACCCACCCCATCCACCCCTGTCTCTTGACTGGATGGAGCACACAGTTCTGGTATTGGAGAGACAGGCCTGGGAGTGGCCCCTCCAACCACAGACAGGAACCCAGCCAGAGGGGCAAGCTAGGGTGAATTGGCTCGTGGTGTGAAATGGCTGTCCACTTGCTGGTGTCCATCCTGTCACAGCAGCCCATGGAAAGTGGAAACTGTGTGCTTTTTATCTTGATATTCCCAGCACCTTGTAGGGAGCTGGTCCTCAGTGACTGGTAACAGTTTGCTGGTTTTGATGCTAAGCAAGGAAGATTGGGGGTGGGGCATGATGAGGCCTGGGAAGTGCAAATGACATTTTTAGAGAGCAGCACAGAGGAAGAGGCAAGTACTGTTTGGCCTGTGGGAGAGTCTGCGGCAACTTCTCATCCATCACTGTGGACAAAACAGCTCCATTTACTAAGGCACATTAGTGCTAGCAAACCACATGGGACCCCGTGGGTTGAAGAAAGTGACGCCCATTTATCATGTCTATGTCTGTGCAGTTGTGCTTCTTAAGTCTCTTAATCTATAACAGTTTCCTTTTGCCCTCCTCCCTTTGTTTCATGCCATTGATCTGAAGGAAGAGCAGGGCCATGTGCCCTGCAGAATGTCCCATATTCTGGCTTTGCTTCCCTTGATGTGATTCAACTCTTTCCTATATTCTCCCAATTCCCACTACATCATTCGGTGGATCTAGATTCTGTTCGGTTCAAGCAGGTGCTGGGTGTTGTCACATCCCGTCGTGAGTCACATGCTCTCTGAGCAGGGGGTTCAGGGTGTCATTGTGGTCCCTCTACCAGCCTTCACCTGATGGTTTTAACACCCGCAGATGATCTATTATTTTGTCACAAAGTGGTGATTCTTCTGTCATTCACTGTATACTTGCTAACTGAAATTCTTCAATGAGAACTTTCCTTCATCAATTGCTTGTTTGCTCTGAAACACAATTTGTAAAGTCAGGCTCTCCTTTTATCGATCCACCCTCAGAGTAATGACATGGTCCCCTAGCAACTCCCAACAATGGCAGCGGGTTTTGGTTTTTTTTTCTTTTTTTCCAAATATCATTAGGAATGCATTACTTTTTGTATATATGATTTGCTTTAATCCATGGCAGTCTTTATTCATTTTAATGCTCAAGTTGTTCCATCTTAGGCTGTTGAGAGTCACTTCAAATTTGCTCCTGGGGTCTTTTGACATGACCCCATTCATCTTTGATGGCTTCCTTACTTTATTGCCCAATGAGAAATCTCAGGTTTAGTTGGTATATTTTCTTCCCCTGACCTGGAATCAACACTTTTTTCCCACAGGGCCCTGGCCCGCTCCTCGTGGTGTGAAATGGCTTTTAAAGACCTCAGTCCAGCTGCCAGGGAGCAATGATTACTAATTGGCTATCACTGCTTCTAGACCTTTCCAGTGGCTATAGCTAGGAAATACTTTATTTTTCAAGAGAAAAATTAATCATTAATTTGCTGATATTTCCAATTCAAGTTTAATAAGACAACATTTTTACTTCTTTAATTCTTTGTATTCTCTTTTCTCTTACACTGGAAATCAGGGCTCCTTATGATATTGACAAAATGACTCATTTTCTTTAACCTGTCATAGATTTATAATAATTTCCTTATCTCCTTTCCTACATGGAAGTTAAAAATATTATAAATGCTTCTCTGCATGGTGTCTTATAATAGTGTTACTGCGAATAAATCTACAGAGTGCAATGTAATATTTTTGATTTTTAATCATTAGTACTACGAATAAGATCAGTGAATACAGTTTGATGTCTTTGGTTCTCTTGCCGTTGTTCCTAGAATGTATTCTATCTTGGATGTGAAGTCGAAGCTGTCTTGTCATGCTAATAATATGATATAAAACCAGATTTGGTTTGTGTTTGTTTTCTAGTTTTAGAGATTCTTTCATTTCTCTTTTTGATTTGGTCTTTTAATTATATAAAACGTTCACATAGTTTCAAAGACAAAGTTGTAAATGTAGGTATCTTTGTACCATGTCGCCTCATCTAGTCCTTCCTTCCCCCTAAAAAAAACCACTTTTACATATTTGTTATTTATTTTTCCGTTTTCATTTTTTTAAATATAAGAAACACACACACATTTTCAGATAATATCCATGCCCCCTTTTCCACGCAGTGCTGACATACTGTGAACATTGTGTTATTCTGCAGTGGTTGTGAATTATTTCACTTAGTAGAATCTGATGATGCCTGTATGCAGCATGTAGAGAACCTTCCTGCCCCTCCAACCAGCTGTGGAGTCCTCCATCATATGACATTCTGTGGTTGATTCAGTTAGATGCCTACTGAGGGGCATTAGGTATGTCCCGTCTTTCGCTCTTCTGAATATTGCTGTAGTGAGTGGCCTTGCGCACCTGCCATTTTGTGTTTTTGCCCGCGCATCTTTGCGGCGACCTCTTTATGCTGCCTCTGCTCCTTGTTACATCCAAAATGGAGGTGCTTGGGTGGTGATTGTGGTCCCCAAAGGATGTGGGCCATGGGCTGTCTACTGGGGAAGGGAAATCCAGGTGTGTGTGTGACCTTTGGGTTAAGAGCTGCCCTTGGCAGGGAGGACCTGATTCCATCAGTTGGCATGGTTCCTTCCCTGGCATGTGAGGACACACACATCCTGGGAACCATGGGTTCCCACTTACAAGCTTACTGTTGCAGGCATGAGAGTTTAATTAGAAGGAAGCATTATTAACCAACACAGTTTGATCTACAATGGGGTAGAGTTCTTAATGCCGCACAGTGGACAGGATGCTCAGGGTAGGGGAGTAGCAGGAGGGTGGGGGTGGGGTGGGGCACACAAGATGTCCAGCATGTGCAAAGGCGGGCTTTCCTTCCTTCATCATCGGGTCTCAGTCATCTCCTTCCACCTATTGTTCAGGCAGCTGCCACTGCTAGGAAAATCTGACAGCTAATTCCCACATCCTTTTAGGACATTTTGTGAATGTCCTGTGGGTTTCAGCCCCAGATCAGATTCTTAAGCTCAGAGCCAAGGAAGGGGCTGGAACAGTGATGACAAAGGCCACCATCTCTACTCCAGGATCTGGGTAGGCACAGAGGTTTTGCTCACACGGATGGTGCCAGGTCATAAAAAGAGGCCTTGGCTTTGCAGATTTGCAGTTCTCATTTCAAACAAGCCACTAATCTATGTCTTGGTCTGTCTTGTGAAGATGCATTCATCAGGCAGGACCTCAGCCTGCTGCACTCACACAGCCTTCAACCCATGGAGGGGCTGCATGTTTGCCTGCAAGATGTGACCTCACCCTCCCCAGGGCAGCCGGGACAGGCCTCCTCAGAAGCTGGCCTGTGCCAGCCCCTTCCCTCTGCAGGCGTGCTATCTTACACTTCACACCTTGTCAAACCTTGGGTTTTCCACCGATAAAAAGAATTCACACACCCTTTAGCTCTCCTAGTAAAATTCCTGTCTCTACAATGCTCCAAATAGTTGACTGGCATTTGATAGTGTGTGGATAAACTGAAGTCAGGGACCACTGAAATGTAAACGCAGCAGAGGGAGTGTTGTATGATGTTCTGTTAACCCAGATACCCCTTTCTCATTCTGAGCCCCCCTGGGGGTCAGTAAGATGGAGATGGGCAGAGTCTCACAGTGGCTGTTTCATCCTAGGGAGTCGAGGAGCACGATGGGCAGCCGGGCCCTGTCTCATGACAGTATTTTCATTCCTGAGTCCGGACAGGACCCCACTCGGCCTGTGCGGGTGTTTTCCCAAGAAAATGTGTGTGATCGGATTAAAGCTCTGCAGGTAAATGTTTCTTTGGTCGTATGCAAGTCAAATATCCACCGAAAAGTTTTTAAATGGTTTCTACTTGGTTTATTTGATATGCCGTAAAGTAGAATCACATACATGACAGCTCTCCCAGGACACACCAACTGAGTTACTCGACTCATTCTTAGATAAAGAAAGAAGAGATGGCAGTGGAAGAGCTGGCGGTAGATGCACGTTCAGTTAGTTCTCTGCATCATGCCAAAACACTGAAGACATTTCCAGCATGAATGAGTTAGAGCAGGAGGATTTGTTGATAAATATCATTGATAAAAATAAGAGCACATGTTCTTTATTCCAATCTAGTTAAAAATACAGTGTAATGTGAAAATGGGACCACCACCTCCTCCAGGGGGACTTCCTGCCAAGCGGGGAGAGGACGCCGGCATGAGCTCTGAGGACGACGGGCTGCCCAGGAGCCCCCCAGAGATGTCCCTGCTGCACGACGTGGGTCCTGGCACAACTATAAAGGCAAGTATGGCCTGTGCTGCTGCCTGTCTCCATCCGCACCTGCCGTGGAGGGCGCTGGAGCTCTGGGATCCCTTGTGTGTGCCCCTGAGAGCTCCATGGATAGGTGAGGCTGTGCGTGGCATGGCTGACTGGGTCACTAGAGGCTGTGTGTGGTGTGGCTGACTGGGTCACTAGAGCCTACGGTCAGCCCTTGAGATGTGTTTATTTTCATTCTTTGAGTAGAAATTCGGGTCTGGTTAGGAGACTGGTTTTGGTGACTTTTTTTAATGAGGATGACAGGTCGATAAAATTAACCCGGAATCAACCCTCTCCCTAGTCTTTCCTGTGTGAGCAGTTGACTAGACCCAGAACCCCAGTTAGAAGAAGGGAAACACATTGTGTCTGTTTTCTGTTGCCCTGACATTTGGCTGGTGGGAGGGGGGAATAGTGAGCATGTGACAGTTGAGGCTGTGATGGTCTCCGGTGTCTGAGCCTGTGACCCTGAGGCGCTGTTGGCGTGCAAGTAGTAATGTGCTGTGTTGCTGCAAACAGGGCAGCAGGGAAAGGTTGACAAGCAAGAGAGGAACTGATGAACTCAGCAAGGTGGAAGAACCGGTCCCAAAAACCACCGTCCCCATTAGAAACCAAGGGGCGGGGTGAGGGGGGTTGCAGGAGGCAAGGAACTAAGCTCTTTCTCATGAATAAACAACATAGCTAGTGATGTTGCCACGTTTTAAATTCTTTACGTTATTGTGGTAAGAACACTTAATGCTCATACAATGTACTTGCACATAAATGTTACAAATAGGTGGTCATCGTTCCCATGTAGACAAGCCTAGCTGTGGGGGATGGATAGAGTTGGAGTCATCTGTTATCCTGACACTTGGAAAACAAATGAAGGCCAGAGTTTACTTTTTTATAGCCACACACCTGCCCCTGGAGCCCTGTCACCTCTGGCCTGCTCAAGGGGCCATTGGCAGTGAAGGGGGCGTGTTCCTCGTAACCCACTGCCTTGCAGATTCTGTGCTGCTCTGAATTCTGTTCAGAAGCCACTTCAACGTGCACACCTATAAACCCTGCCACACAAAATTTTTGTGTGTGGTTGTGAATTCCCAAAACATCACTGATAAAAAAAGGCAGAAGGACTGTGATGGGGCTGAGTGTGTGGGGTGGGGACTGACGTGAACCCAACTAGAGAATTATTCTCTCCAGAATTCTGCTCGGGGGCAAAGCTGTCCCTGCTCATTCCAGGAGCAGGGTCTGAGGACAGTGGGCTACCCAGGCCTGCTCTCCAGCCTTGAGCAGAAGGAAGAGAGGATGAAGAGGATGGTATGGCCTATTTCATAGACTCCACCAAGCCAACCCTGTACCCCCTAACACCTCAAAACTCATATGTGCGATTTCAGCGTCTTCCTGTCAGGAGCGGATGTGACTTTGCGTATTTCTGGGCTAGGCAGTAGGAAGAGTCTGTTGTGAGCTGCCTGATTCCTCATCATAGATGGACTCCCCCTTCCCATCCCACAGATCTCTAACTCTCACAGCATCCCAGTTCTCTAACTTTAGCCAGGATAGGCAGTAAGAGGAGAGGTCGTTTCTAACCCATCCATTGAAGAGCAAGCCTGTCTCCAACCCCGTGTGACACCATGAGGCACAAATTCCACAGCTGGCTCGGCTGGGCCAGGCTGACCTTATCTCTCACAGCACAACCACCTTCTGTGGTTGGTCCTTTATTTAAAAAAAAAAAAAAAAAGTTTTGAGATTTTATCAATTTTTGGGTAACATGGACAATCTGCTAGCTTCATAGGAAACCAAAATGTGGACCTTTAAGACTTAAAAGCCAAAAGTGTAATCTTTACTGTCTTCATTGTTTTGAAGAAACAATGATTGCATTTTGAGGCCTGAAAGTTTTTATGCATAATTGGTCAATTGAGAGGGAAAAACAACACACTCTTTAAAATGGGCTTGTAGAATATGTTGTGTTTGATAAAATAGTGCCTCTGGCCCCAAAAGGATGGATGGAGGCTGTTTAATGTTCTCCCATGTTTACACCTTACACAGGCCCACATAGACAGAGAAATGTATTGTGGTAAAAAGAGTCTTTAGTAGCAAGTATTTAATGTTATAACCAGGGTGATGTTTCCTGATAGAGTAAGTTTTTTGGGAAATATATGGAATAATTTTTCAAATTTTATTACCAAGTGTCATAACTGATGAAAATTTGCTTGGTGGTTTTTAAGATAAAATGATGTCTAATGGGTCATATTCTCAGTGTCCTGCTACAAAGCAGGACATGCCAGGTAGAGGGTGATAAACTGGCAGGGCTCTGAGTCATTTTGCTCCTGGTGATGTGGGAAGGAAAGATGGGGAGGGAACACAGATCTGGTGGCAAATGAACAAATACATGCCCACAGCTCCAGAGGTTGGCCTCGGGCAGGCTCATCACCTCTTGGAATCTGTGTCTTCAGAGGGTTTTGGCTCAGAGAGTTTTCGGGGGATGAGATGAGACTGGGTAGACCAGCACCGCTCCTTCCAGTAGGACCAGTGGCTTCTCTTTGCCCCTGGAACATCCAGGTGCCCCTGTTTCCTGTCCAGTGGCCCTTCCTGCATGAACTACCCCCAGCTCACTCCTCAGTGACTGAGCCCCTCTTTTTGAGGACACACATCCTAAAGCACCTGTCACTCAGGGCCACCCATGAAAAGCTTCTGAACCCCAGGCCATTTTCTCTGGGCCCTTTGAGCTGCCTTCCCTGCAACAAAGAGCCACATGCTAGGCTTTTAAATTTTCTGCTTTCAGAATCATCCAGAAGCACAGATTTCAGGAAAAATTGGGTGACTAGAAGCAAGCCATACAGAGGTGAATGTTCTGGGTGCTACCAGCCCACCCATGAATCCAGCTTCCCAGCCTTCATCTCTTCCTCATGGTCCTAGCCCACTCCACGTATTTAGATCACAGATCAACAACAGACATGATTCTCCTTGATCATGAAGATGGGGTTCTTTCCAGACCCAAAGATCTCTCAGCGCAACAGTAGAAACAGAAGTGAGAGTTCTGAGACCAGAGGAGTTGAGTTCCCTAGTGGGGGAGAGCTTGTACCTGGGACACAGGTCAGGGGAATTAAGCTCCATGCCAAGGTCCCCTAGCCCAGGGGCCAGAGTGGGCCTGAGCCCAGGACATCTGCCCAGGCAGGACAGACACAGGGTGGCCCACAGGGAGGAGGGCCTGCTGTTTATCCTTTGGAGCCTTCAGGGCATTGGGCTTATAGAGGAGCAGTCAGGGGTATTATTGTCACAGGCACCATGATCATTCTCACTGCACTTGCAAAGTGGTTCATCTTGTCTGTTTTCATGAGTCCCAGGCAGTGAGATTTTTTTTTTTAACCAAATGTTTATACATTGTTCCTCTAGACATGGGTAAATATTACAGATTCTGTATGATTTTTTTTTTTTTAATGTACACATCCTGTTTGTGACCTTTAAGGAAGACTATCTGGGAAAGGTATTGATTTCCCAGTCTAAGGCGACTTCCTGAGTCGTCAGTGACCACAGCAAGAACCAAAGCCACAGGCACATATGTAGTCATGGCCCGGAGACTTACGGCTTATTTTTAGCATACTTTTTTTTTTTTCACTTTATTCCTGTAGGTATAGGAATAGCTAAAATAGAATTTACGTAGATTATGTCCACTTTTAGCCCCTTCTCCCCCATGTTAGTAATTATCTCCTCCTTGTTTACATGGATAAACTTACACTTTTATTAGAAAATAGGAGAGGCCTTCATGTAAACAGGGAGAGGTTGTTCCTCCCATGTCGGAGCCCATCTCTCCAGTACAGTCATCTTTATGATTCCCTGTCAGGGTTAGCAAAGGCCACTGGGCACCTGCTCTGTGTGGGGTCCCAGGGTTATGGAAAAGAAACAGTGGATGTGCCCATGGCCCTGGGAGCTTGCCACTGGGGATGGCACTGGTGTGTTATCTCACTGCCTCGTTCACTGTTTTCATGAGGTGTTACTGAATTGTTGTGTGAATAAAATTCTATTCTTAAGTTAAACGGAAACTTGACACTAATACTGCCCATCATGCTTAAATAGAAAGCTTGCTTAAAGATCACAGAATTATATGAAAAGCCCGTCACCTCTGAGTTTCCCTGTGCACCTCGTCCCTCATCTGGGCTGCATGTGCTCACAGGTGCTCTGAGTTTCATGCCTACTCCTGTCTGCAGGGGAGCCCACTTCGACCTCACTCAGTAGTGGAGCTGACCAAGTTCTGGGCACAGGGATCTTTGGGTATTGCCCTCATTCTTCCACATGACTGCCAGCATCCCTTTGTCCCAGTTGACATGGTTACCCTTTGCTGTCAATTCTTCCTTGCTGAAGTAAAAACGAGTAAAATACCTGTAACTTAACAGATGGCAACTTCCACCCACATTTCTTCAAGAGGACACGAGTACCCAGAAACCTAGGATGAACCAGCAAGGCTCCAGTGATGGAGTGTTGGACAGTGGGCTTGGCACTAAAATCACAGCTCTGAACCTTCCTCTCAGCTTCCAGAGTCAGGACCAGTGACTGTGCCCCGGACAAATCGGGCTGGTGTGCTTTGTCAGAGAAAGCTCTTTTGTCTGAAGTGCCTGTGCCAGCTGCCACAGGAGGATTACAGGGAACCCTGAGACACAGGTTTTCTTCATGGTTTCAGGAAGGAGTGACAGGTTTCTAGGAGTTGGCCCCACACTTTAAACTCCCAGCCATTTACCTGTCTCCAGGAGCATCCTAGACCCTTCCTTGTTTAGAGTCAAGTTGAAAGTATTGGTCGGGCCTGGTAGCTCATGCCTGTGATCCCAGCACTTTGGGAGGCTAAGGCAGGCAGATCACAAGGTCAGGAGTTCGGGACCATCCTGGCCATCATGGTGAAACCCCGTCTCTACTAACAATACAAAAATTAGCTGGGTGTTGTGGCGTGTGCCTGTAATCTGGGCTACTCAGGAGGATGAGGCAGAAGAGGAGAATTGCTTGAACCCGGGAAGTGGAGGTTGCAGTGAGCCGAGATCACACCACTGCAGCATTCTAGCCTAGGTGACAGAGCAAGACTCCGACCAACCCCCTCCCTGCAAAAAAAAAAAAAAAAAAAAAAAAGTATTTCCACATATGTAAAGCCAGAGACTGTGGGAAGACCAAGCCTGGGCAGAACAGAGCATTGTTGCGTTGGTTGTCCTTATTTCACATGGTGAAGCTCATGCTCAGTGTATTTGTTCCTTGTCCCATGAAGGTCTCTGTCGTGTCTCCAGACCATGTGAGTGACAGCACTGTCTCCGTCCGGACCTCGGACAGCAGCCTGGCACCAGTGGCTGACTTCAGTTACCCTCCAGAATCCTCCTCCTGCCTGGACAACTCTGCAGCTAAGCACAAGCTCCAGGTCAAGCCCCGCAACCAGCGGTCAAGTAAAATGAGGCGGCTCTCATCGGTAATTGGGTTTCCTTCTCCACACGGAGGCAGGCCAGGCAGGCTTGGTACCCCCACCCGACACACACCCCCAACCTACCTAACTCCCCCGCATAAGGTCTCATATCCCCTCTGAGCACCCCACAGTTGATGGAGCCATGCTGCAGGAGCTGAAGTTTCTCATCCTTTTAAACATAAACCAGATCTGTCTCTCCCTTGCAGAAACGCTCCATCCATCCATCCATCCATCCATCCATCCATCCATCATTTCTTACACAGTCACTATTGAATACTGGTTGCCTTCCCCCTGCACTCAGTGTAAAGTCCACATTTCAGGCCTGACATATCAGGTACTGCCTACGCCCCAGGCTTTTTACCCTCTTTCTCAATCAGTGCTCTGGCCACCTTTCTGCCTCTTGAGCTCATGAGCTGCTTCTAGCCTCAGGCATTGGTGCTGCTGTGGCCCAGCTTTGGGGCCTGACAGTCCCCCAAAGAAGCTCACCCTGCCCATTCAATTCCTTAGGAGCACTTGCCACATGAAAAGTGATTTTTGTAAATGGATGTGCTCTTATTGCCAGTCTTCTTTGAGACCCCGTCCTGGCTGTACTTTCGGTCCTTAGAACATTTCTAGTCACAGAGATGTTAAACGGATGAATGATTGAACAAATGAATGAGTGAATTAACAAATGAGTGAATGAAAGAAGCTGAAACACTAGTGTGTACACCTGCCTTGGGCAAAGGCCTACTCAGTAGCATGGGGAGCAGGCCTCAGAAGGACAGACCCCTCTTTGGGTGTGCTGCCTTGGGTGTCATTACCTCCTAGTCCTAGAAGCTGAGAAACTGGTTCATGGAATACTTTCGTTTCATTTACCAGCAGGTTCAAGGTTCACATAGGGTTGTTCCCTCTCCCCTACTTCATGGGCACTGTCATGCCTCCCCGCTGAAGTTGGGGCCAGCCTGGCCACAGAGAATGACAGTGCTGAAAAAGAGACGCTCACAGGCTAATGTCCTCTGTTCGTCCCTCGAGACATGATTAGGGGGTGTTGGTGAAGTACCCAGGGCAAGCTAGGTGCCTCAGCTGGAGACAGTGGGCTGGGACCACTCAGGACTTCAGTGACTCCCTGAAGAGAGCGAGTTTTCCTTTGGGCATATGGAAGGTGCTCTTTAAACTCATGCCAGCAGAGTAGATTTTTGAGGGGACTAATGTTGGAAGAAGCAGCAAGGTGGGTTACCTTCATGCTGATGTGCTAGCAGGGACCAGGGTACTTGCGTGTATGTGTCTGCATTCAATGCATGTACAGTTAAAGGCTGTGTGCTGTGCAGGTGTGATAAGGTCCAGTCACTCAAGACCTGCCTGTCCTCATGCTGAGTGAGACCACAGGGCCAGGGCCTGCCCCCTTTTGGCCCTCAAGTCTGTGATTTATGACTCCCGCGGGCATGTCTTTGGCTCTGGCCAGGGCATTTATAACCAGCCACAACCTGGCCAGGACTTAGTGACAGAGTGAAGCCTGGTGTCTATTCCAGGTGGAAACGCAGCCTCCCTTCTTGCTCCCATCTGTGCAGAGCTGTATCCCTCTTTCTTTACATTTGAACTTGACTTAGTTCTTGAATCCCACTTTGTAGAGTAAGAGAAAACCTGATGCAGTCAGTCTGAGTAAACATGTAAACACAGCCTTTCCTTGATCTAAACTCTGTCACATCCATGGCTTTTCCCTCTTTTCCCTTCCCTGCTTGGTAAGGTGCAGGCATGAGTATCTTAAGTTCTCAGAGGTGTCCATATTTTCCTTCATCCACTGTTGTGGAACCTATGATGTGGGAGGCCTCTGTCCTTCAGTGTCCACAGCACCCTTTGCCCTTTGGTCATGAGGTCCCAATCGTAAGGACCTTCCTTGTGGCCTGGCACCTCTCAGGGATCAAGGTGCTTTCAGACGGTCCCTAACTCTTCCCAGGATGGGAAAGAACAGCCATGCTGACCCCTCTGCTGCCTTGTGTGGGCTCCATGACTGACAGTTTTAAAAGGTGACCCCCATCCTAAAGAAGTTTCAACATCAGCAGTTTCCTGTAGTAGCAGAAGGCCATCAACATGGCAAAGTCAAGAACCTGCAGCTTTTGAATTTGTAGCTTTCTTTGTGCCTCTTCCTCTTTTTAAATCCAAAAGACTATGATTGTGCATTTTGTTAAGAGTTTGCTTAGGTATTGTCACAAACATCCCAGGCATCCTGTATTCTATTAGCAAGCAGATGACATGAAAAATATTAATAACATTAATAACAACAAACAACAAGAAGAAAAACCTATTGCAAACATATCCCTGAGTGTCTTATTTCCTGCTTTAGAAAAGGGGAAGGAGAGAGCAATAGCCTGGGTGACTCTTGGGGCCTAATATCACGAACTTTCTAAAAAGATCAGCCTCTACACCATCAACCTTTTAGTCATTTTCACGTTACTTCTGAATGATTCTTGGTTACCTGTAACTCCTTTCCTTCCCAAGAGAGCAGGAACTGACTTTGTGACAGAAGGAGGAAGTTGGACTGGAATCTGAATTCTAGAGATCTTTCTGAAGAAGAATATCACAAGGCAGTGTATGTTCGCCAAGCCGGTAGGGCTTCAGGCCAGAGAAGGGAGGATCTTAAGCTGCAGGGAACAGTCAAGACTACCTATAGAGGGGGAGAGTTTGAAGCAGTCCTTGGGGGTCCTGGTAGAGCATCCTGGAGGTTGGGGGCAGGGGGTGGGGGTGGCAGTCACTCAGACCAAGTGTCTGGCACAGTGTTGGGGGCTTGGTTTGACCTGAGTAAGGAGTGGAAGAAATAACTTAAGACCAGAGAATCTAGGACTTTAAATTTAGCTGAAAATCTTGATTTTATCCTGTAAGCTGTGGTTAGCTACTGACATGATATGAGTCATCTTTTAGGAAAACCAGTCTAGCTTTGCTATGAGGGCAGATTCCTGAAGTGTTGACATGGGAGACTGGCTGGGAGGAACACAGGGCCCTAGAGCCCCAGCTGTTCAGCTGGGCCACCTGCTCGCCCAGGCTTGACAAAGGTATTGGCTTCTCTGGGCTCCTGGCTCTGAAGTGCAAAAAGGGACCTGATCATCTCTTCCTCACTGGGATGAATGATTAAATGAAATAACAAGTGTGGAGCACGGAGCATGGTAGACACTGGCTGCTGTTGATTGCCCTCCCTTGGCATTACTCTCTAGTCCACTGGTTTTGCGGCTCTGCCAGAGGAGTTGCAGGCATTTACTTTGGAGGCATATCTGCCATTTTCCTTATAAACTTGTGAGCCCAAGTAGACCAGCAGGATACAGACTGAGAAAAGACACCTGTGGGTATATGCCTACTTAAGTGCCAGCTTTAGAGATACTGCTATCACTAAACCATTATAAGCCTTGAAGAAACTGCGGAGGTGACCGGCTTCCTGGAATTTGCTATAGTGATGGTGCTTTTTATTTCTTTTCTTCTTCTTTACATGTCTCAGCGCGCTCAGTCTGAATCCCTGAGCGACTTGACGTGCACCCCTGAGGAGGAGGAAAACGAGGAGAAGCCACTGCTGGAAGTCAGTCCAGAAGAGAGCCCCAGCTCTGGGCAGCAGGACGTGGCTCCAGACAGAGGCCCTGAGCCTAGGCCGCCAGCGCCCTTGCCGCCAACCGGAGGGACCCGTGCCAGACGCGCCCGCCTGCAGCACTGCCCGGCGCTCAGGGCCAGCGTGGAGGAGGAGGGCACCCCTGGGGAGGACCCCTCAAGTCGCCTGGACACCCCGGAACTCGCCGAGCTCCAGTCGACCCCCACTCTCCGCGTGGAGCCCCCGTCCCCGCCAGCGGGCCCCCAGCACCTCGGTCCCAACGACGGAAAGCAGGAGGGGGCGGCTCCCGCAGGGCCGTGTGCCCCAGCCACAGACCCCGCAGAGGAGGTGGTCTGCGCTCCTGAAAACGTCCGGAGCTCCTCTCCCACCGCCATCCCCGAGGGGGACCCGAAGCCCCCAGAGACTGTCCCCGCCGCCACCTCGGAGGCGCCCTCTGCTCCCGACGACTGGCCAGACCACAGTGTCCCGCAGGAATCGGAGCCGAAGGCCCCAGTGCCTCCCGACGAGGAGAAGGGGCCCCCGGGGCCGGTGCCCGAGCCCGAGAGAGCAGGAACTGAGCACGAGAGAGCAGGAACTGAGCACGAGAGAGCGGGGACCGAACCCGAGAGAGCGGGGACCGAACCCGAGAGAGCTGGGAACGAGCCGGCGAGAGCAGCAGGGACGGAGCCCGAGAGAGCGGGGACCGAACCCGAGAGAGCGGGGACCGAGCCAGAGAGAGCGGGGACCGAACCCGAGACAGCGTGGAACGAACCCGCGAGAGCGGGGACCGAGCCCGAGAAAGCGGGGAACGAGCCCAGGAGACTGGGGAACGGGCCCTCCGCGGCGCCCGCCCCGAGCCCCCCAATGCCCAAGAGCTGCCTGAAGCACCGGCCCACGGCGGCCATCGAGGGCCCTGCCGCATCCCCGCCGCCTGCCGCCACGAAGTCGCCCCCGGGGGAACCCGGTCCCTGTTCCTCCAACGCAGAGGCCGCCGCCCCGGAGCGCCCCAAGGCCGAGCGGGCCGAGGCGGCGCCGGAGCGGAAGGCGGAGAGGGGCGGCGGGGAGCTGCGGGGCGCGAAGAAGTTCTCGGTGTCCTCGTGCCGAGCGCGGCCTCGCCCCGGCGCCGCCCGCCCGTTGGAACGCGCCGGCGGCCGCCTGCCCCTCTCGAGCAGCCGCCCGGCCTGGAGGAGCGAGGCGGCCCTCGACGACCTGCAGGGGCTCCCCGAGCCCCAGCACGCGAAAGCCGGCCCTCGGAAGCCCGCGGAGTGCGGCCCTCAGGACTCGGGCGACAGGGCGGCCACCCCGGCCGGGCCTCGCAGGAGCCCCCAGGAGGTGGCCGCCTCGCCCGGGACAAGACAGCCCTGCCCCGCGGCCCAGGAGCTGGCTCCGAGCGAGGACAGAAACCCCTTCCCCGTCAAGCTTCGGTCCACCTCCCTCTCGCTCAAATACAGGGACGGGGCCTCCCAGGAGGGGAAGGGTGTGAAGAGGTCCAGTGCCGAGGTCCGCCTTGAAAGGTCCCTGACCGTACTCCCGAAGGAGGAAAAGTGTCCTCTCGGGACGGCCCCCGCCCTTCGAGGCGCCAGGGCCCCCAGCGACCAAGGAAAGGGGAAGGCCCGGTCCCCGGAGCCGCTCAGCTCTAAGCCGCCCCTGCCCCGGAAGCCGCTTCTGCAGAGCTTCACGCTCCCGCCGGCGCCCGCGCCCCCCGACACCAGCCCAGGAGAGCGGGACCCCAGAAAGGAGCCAAGGACGGTGGAGAAAAGGCCGCTGCGCAGGGGAGCTGGTAAGAGCCCGCCGAGGGTGCGGAAAGGGCAGGGCCTGGAGAGATCCACATCCGCTGGCACATTTTGCTGAATGCCCGCCAACTTTGTTGCAGGAGACTTAGAAAGAATCAGAATTCCCGGCCGGGCGCGGTGGCTCACGCCTGTAATCCCAGCACTTTGGGAGGCCGAGGCGGGTGGATCACGAGGTCAAGAGATCGAGACTATCTTGGTCAACATGGTGAAACCCCGTCTCTACTAAAAGTACAAAAACATTAGCTGGGCACGGTGGCGCATGCCTGTAATCCCAGCTACTCAGGAGGCTGAGGCAGGAGAATTGCCTGAACCCAGGAGGCGGAGGAACGGTGAGCCGAGATCGCGCCATTGCACTCCAGCCTGGGTAAGGAGCGAAACTCCGTCTCAAAAAAAAAAAAGAATCAGAATTCCCACTAACATGTCTGATCTAAAGTAAGCTTGTTCAATCTGCGCCTGGGCCCAGGGCGGTTTTGAAGGTGGCCCAACACAAATTCGTAAACTTTCTTAAAACATTATGAAAATTTGCGATTTTTTTTTAAGCTCAACATCAGCTATCCTTATTTTATGTCTGGCCCAAGACAGTTCTTCCAGCGTAGCCCAGGGAAGCCAAAAGATTGGACACTCCTGATCTAGAGTAAGGAATAGGCCTACCTCGGTAGCTCACCCCTGTAATCCCAGCACTTTGGGAGGCCACGACCTGCGGTTAAGCCCAGGAGTTCAACACCAACCTGGGCAACATAGCAAGACCTTGTTCTATAAAACGTAAAAACTAGCCAGGTGCGGTGGTGCATGCCTGTACTCCCACCTACTTGGGAGGCTGAGCTAGGAGGATTGCTAGAGCCCAGGAGTTCAAGGCTGCAGTGAGCTGTGATGGTGCCACTGCACTCCAGCCTGGGTGACAGAGTGAGACTCTGTCTGTTTTTAAAAGAGAGAGAGAAAATAAGGAATAAAGAGTAGAAAAAGGAAAACAAATACCAGAATTTTGTGTAAGTACAGAGAAGTCAGGTGTGTAGGCATGAGATAAAAAATGTAGAAACTGATTTTGATAGGACTCTCAGCAAATCCCTCAAATTCTTCTCCCACTTTTCACCTGAGAAACTCAGCAAAGTCCCAATCCCAGGACATGTGTACTCATTTTTATGCAGGTTCTTTCAGGGCCTAAGCTACTTCTTGGCTATAAATGAAACATCTTAACTCCTCATCAGACTCCTTCCTTCTGACCTTTTCCTCCAAGAAAGAATTTCCTTCCACTTCATAATCAGGTTCACATGGCCCAGCTGCACGTGGAAGGCATTCCCGATATTGGAATCACAAGTCTGTGTAAAATGTAGGTCTCAAGAGGGTCAGCATTTACTTCCTGTCCCAAAAAAGAGATTGTGTTAAGATTGAGGCAGAATGTAAGAATCTTTGAAAGCAGCTGTCTTTTGAAATGAGCAGAGACAAAGTAGACGACCTTTCTCTGCCTTTGTCATTTCTCACTTCTTACAGTGTTTCATATGAAATGAGCAGTCTGCTGCAAATGGGTATTTGCAGCAGAGCTAAAGAATCTTTCATTGGTGGGTTTGTTTGTTGGTTGGTTTGTTTGTTGAGATGGAGTCTCACTCTGTTGCCCAGGCTGGGGTTCAGTGGTATGATCTTGGCTCACTGCAACCTCCGCCTCCCGGGTTCAAGCAATTCTCCTGTCTCAGCCTTGCAAGTAGCTGGGATTACAGGTGTGCACAACACACCTGGCTAATTTTTTTTACATTTTTGGTAGAGACAGACTGGTCTCTACCTGTTGCAGGCTGGTCTTGAACTCCTGACGCCAAGTTATCTGCCTGCCTCAGCCTCCCAAAGTGCTGGGATTACAGGCATGAGCCACTGCACCTGGCCTGCTGGTTTTTTTAATAAATGGAAATCTGTGAGCCAGAAAATGAAACTACACGAATAAGTTGCATGTGCATGCGATGAGGGCCCTAGAGAGAAGTTTTCCATGGCAAATTTTGTTTTTAAAAATGTTTTTGCCAGACACCGTGGCCAAAATCATGCCTGTAATCCCAGCATTTTGAGAGGCTGAGGCAGGTAGATCACAAAGTGAGGAGTTCGAGACCAGCCTAACAACATGGCAAAACCCTGTCACTGCTAAAACTACAAAAATTAGCCGGGCATGGTGGCATACGCCTGTAATCCCAACTACTCAGGAGGCTGAGGCAGGAGAATTGCTTGAACCTGGGAGGTGGAGGTTGTGGTGAGCCAAGATCACTGCATTCCTGTTTTTTTTTTTTTTTGCAACAGAGCAAGACTCCATCACAAAAAAAAAAAAAAAAAAAAGGTTTCAGACTATTTTAGAGGCTACTCGAAATCCCAAGGTTCCATTCAAGCACTGCATTGTAGGACAGAGAGGAAATACAACTTGATGGCTCTCTTAGGGAATCCTGTATCCTATGAGGAAGATGCATACACAGGAGGAAAAAATAGCTCACACAAAACCACATAAAAACAGTTCCAAAATAGTCTAATCTTTTCTGGTTCTTTTACAGTGCTTTAGATTCCTAAGGTGATATGCAGGGATTCACAGTTCCAAAGAGCCCACACATATGGCCTTCCCAATCTCAGGCCCCTTGGCACAGCTGTGACTTTGTGTTGCTGTTGCCACTGCAGTAGGATAATCAGAGCGGGAATTTGGAGCAAGTTCAAGCTGTAGTTGATGATCCACTCTGCAGATTTCCATTGAGGTTACTGAAGCTACTGTAGAGTGATTCAAAAGCCATTGAAGTAGCAAGGGAGGGATGAGTTGCTCTCTATGCACATGGAACCCTGACCTTCATGGCCTAAAATTGAAAATGTCTCTCAAGGGCTTCCTGAATGAAGGGAACTTAAAAACAGAATATCAAGCTCATAGTCAGATCTGGAAAGGAAGCATCAGAGGGCAATGCCTGACCCACTATTTATGTATAAGTTCCTCAATCTAAGCCAAGCTTTCTTCACTATAAAATGCCTGGGATGGTCTGTAAAGACCTTGTGTATTTTTCTTTGATTTATAAAATATAATGGAGTATTTGTTTATTAGCAGCTTTGCTTATATAGTAGAAGAGAATTGTCTCATCCAAGTTTAATCGCATTCTCTAAAGCCATAGAAATGACAGAGTTAAATGAATTTCAAAATGAAAGAAGAATCTAGGTTCCTTTATGGGTATGGGTAATGATTTTCATTTTAATGTAAAGAGAGGAGGGAAGGAATTACCCGCATTCTATAGGGAAGCAACTCTGGGGGCAGGGGCAGTGGTACTGGAAGGACAGATACCAGGACAGGCTGGGCCTGCTGCCTGATCCTACCTGGACCTTGAGGGGCTGTCTCATGCTGACCAGAGCAGAATCTCAGGGTCTGCACTGTCAGACCCTAGCAGAGAGGCTGCCCCCATACCTTCCCCAGATGCTGAATCTGTTTGTGCTTTCTTTCATTATCATCACTGTAAGGGTTTAGAATGAGAAAACTGAGACTAGCATAAGAAAATTAAATGCCAATTTATTCAACTCCCAGGCGAGATTCCATGGTCCCAGGGAAAGGGGCCAGGGAAGTCGCACTTGTCTTCTTAGGGCGTGGGGTTGTATAGGGAGTGGAGGTAGGATCGGCTGCGGGGGAAACAAAGCGGAGGTAGTCTCATTGGTTATGAAGGGACTGGGCACGGACGAGGCGAGCCGCCACTGGCAGCCAGAATGTGAGGCTGGTCGCCTCGCCAGGAGCTCGGACATGCCCATAACCTCTCCACGAGCTCAGACATGCCCATAACCTCTCCACGCCTAGAGACTACTTTACCACCCGCGACCCATAGAACAACCGCTAGGTAAAGGGAGTCTACAGAAAGGTCTATAGTTAGTGGCAAAACCGCCACCCCCAAGGGACATGGCTGATATCCCGGTCCTATATTTGCATTGTACCTATAGAAATAAACCTTACAATCACTTCTATTATCATTCTTATTGCTCCCAAATTATATTAGCTGGAAGCAATTCAGTTCATATAAATCTTACGGATAAGAAAAGTTTTAATAGCAATATTACTCTGTTTCCAGAACGACCTAATAATTGCTACTGTGGTATCCAATATCTTGTCCAGCACTCCCAGATAGGCTTCCACCTCCCCCATTCTCCCTCTAGGGTAATGTACACTGAAGTTGGATGATTGAAGTGTTCCCCATGACTCTGCTTCGGGGACTCAAGCTGCTTTGTCCCCAGCACCTGGTTTATTCTTCTTCCTCTCTTCCACACCGTGTGCTCCTACTTTGAAGGAATGGAGGAAGCTTCAGTAGAAGGAATAGGGAAGGATGCAGTGGTGGTTGATCATAATAAACAGAGGAGCCTGGCTCGCCAAAGGGGCTGAGCCTAACAGGGTCTACGCTGGAGTGATTACTGCAAGTTTAGTACATGTCTGTGCTCCTTTATGCAGAGGAGTCCTGTTTATAGGCCTGGTTCATAATTTGCTGATCTGTCCTAGGAAATAAATGGCCCTGGGTTATCAGCCTTGTTCATTTGTGCAGAACATTATGCATCCTCCTGTTGGTTCAATCCATCTCAGAGTCTAAATTACAGGTCATAAAGCAACTTCTGCACACAGGATTAGAGTGAGAACAAAGGGGTTAGAGAATATTGTGTGGAAAAATTGCAAAACACAGAAAGGATGTAGAAAAAAAATCACTCTTAAGTCTACCTTCTTTCTAGTCTGTCTTGTTTCTGGGTATGGGATTTATTTTTTCACAAAGTCATGGTCACATATTGGTGTTTTGGGAGGTAGTGCAAGAAACCAACCTTCTCAACTGGGACCTCATTTGATAACCAGCATTGGCTTCTAATCTGAGCTTGATTCCTCCAGACAGGGTTGGTGACACGGTGACACATTCCCGTCTCTGACCCTCTTTTTCTAGACTCCAGTACTCACTCATTTGTGCATTCTTTTTTTGAACAAATATTTAATGTCCTCCTGCCATGCAAGCTTTGCGTTGGCCCCAAA